TATAATAGTTATGAATTTATTCTTGTGAGGTGATATTCAAAGATGTCTTGTATGTTATGAAGGAGGCTGGCAAACTGGTTGTGTTGGGTTCTTGCCACATGTTCAGTGACCAATACATCGACAAAGAAGAGAACAGTAAAATCCTGGTGAGTCCAGTTGACATTCAAAGATTTGTTAATGAACACATCAGATGTTAAGAGTTGTTTTGCTCTCCTGTGGACTTCAAGTCAGTTCAGTCAGTTTTATTATTTRCATTCCAGGATGTCGTGCTGCAGTGGCTCATGACTGACAATATACAGCTGAATCAGATTGATGCAGAAGACCCAGAGGTGAGGATGTACACTCGAGAGGAGAATGGCCTCATTATTATTGTCTTTCACATTAACTGATCTCCATCTTACCCGTTTCTCCTCTAGATAACAGATTACACCATGTTGCCAGACACAGGGTTCTTGTCAGAGCAGCTCAGAGTGTGTTTACAAGAAGATGATGTATACCTTAGGGACATCACCTCTCTCTTTGACATGTCTTTGTTAAAATTTTCCACTGACACCTTACCCCAAGTCATCAGGTGACTGCAAAATGTACCTGACAGCATTATTCCATCATCACAGCTCTTTTTCTTCATGTCTAAAATGTACTATTATTATGACATAATAGGACTGCCTATTAGCAGAAGTGTTTTATACTCTTCTCAGTGACCATGCGTTTTTTTTAACTTGTGGTCACAATATCATCATTAGCAACCAAATAAATTTTTTTTTTTCCAATGGATAAAATCTTTCTTCATAGACCAAGCTGCGCATTAATTCAGTCAGCCCTTCGTGACTCCGCTTGCCCCCTTTTTTCCTCTCGTGGACCCAAACAAACATCGTCATCGGACGCATCTGTATAATTTGTAATATTATATATAATATATAATTTGGTCATCTAACACAAATTACATACATAATAATTTGCATATAGAGCGGGGAAGTGAAATCTGCCACAGATGACACATTCAGGATGAGTTTTAATGTCTGGTGTGAACACATGTACTTAACACTGTCCACATGTGATCAATCTCTCAGGAGTCAGGACCGATGTTCAAACAACAGGGCCACAGTAAGACTACAATATGTTCTAATCTAACTGCTTCTGTTCACAGGTGCAGCAGTAAATCTTGAATTCTACATTCACAGCCACTTTATTAGGCACACCTGTTCAATTGCTTGTTAACACAAATAGCTAATCAGCCAATCACATGGCAGCAACTCAATGTATTTAGGCATCTAGACGTGGTGAAGACGACTTGCTGAAGTTCAAACCGAGGATCAGAATGGGAAAGAAAGGGGATTTAAGTGACTTTGAATGTGACATGGTTGTTGGTCTGAGTTTTTCCAAAACTGCTGATCTACTGGGATTTTCACGCACAACCATCTCTAGGGTTTACAGGGAATGGTCAGAAAAAGAGAAAATATCCAGTGAGAGGCAGTTGTGTGGACGAAAATGCCTTGTAGATGTCAGAGGAGAATGGGCAGAGTGGGTGCCACTCCTGTCAGCTAAGAACAGGAAACTGAGGCTACAATTCTCACAGGCTCACCAGAATTGGACAATAGAAGATTGGAAAAATGTTGCCTGGTCAGCTGCGACATTCAGATGGTAGGATCAGAATTTTGCATAAACAACATGAAAGCATGGATCCATCCTGCCTTGTATCAACGGTTCAGGCTGGTGGTGGTTGTGTAATGGTGTGCGGGATATTTTCTTGTGGCTCCAAAGTTGGATAAAGATCAGAGGGTTGCCAAGCACATCCTGGAACAGATCTTCCTCCAGGTTGAAGAGTTCCTTTGCAGGAGCACAACATCGTCACTCAGGTATGATACACTCCGGTGTGAGTGGATACAGGCAACATGTTCATCATATTCAACTCTACCTTTTCAACATACAGGCGCATCTCAAAAGATTTTAACATAGTTCAACAACATGCTCCTTTTGTGATTTAAAATAAACACTTATATATGAAATGAATAGTCTCTCTTTTGTATTCAACTTTGGAAAAACCATATTGTGAAAATAAACTGAAGTTATTGACACTTTTATTTAAATATTCTGAGTACTCACTCATGGATCTGTCTACGTCTAGAGTTTCAGAATTTGTGGATATGAGGACATTTGATGTTATTGTTACTGTCTTTAAAGGAACTATGGTGTTTTATTTTCCTTTAAGAGGGCAGGTGGGATTCCAAACTGCCAAATTGTGTATTGTTAATAATATGTGTATTTTTTATATATATTTGACAGCATTATTAATATGGATAAAGTACAGAGTAAAGTATGAAAAGGTTGTCGGATGTGACTGTGGATAGTTGGAGTTTATTAATTGTATATTACATTGTGGATAAGTTTGTGAACATGTCACTATTATTTTATTGTGTGCCACCTGCTGCATACCTGACAGTAAGAAACCAGCCAGGCTCTAACCCAGACCCTGCAGGAGCCAAGTGTCTCTCAGTGTACTGTTTGCATGTTTCTGTGGGTTTCAAATAAATGTTCATCAATCCCAATCATTAGTTTTGTCTCTTATGTTGCTTTCCTTGAGCTGAAGTTGTGACACACTCACAGAGAGACAGAAAACAGCCAGACTTGAAAATACTGTATCTACCAGCATGCACCAGGTGTTTGTAAAGACAGGCACAGCACTTATCAATTTAAGGGACATCGGAGCATGTGCAGTGACATTACAACCACTTCCTGTTTGTTGGTTGTCCATCAAAGAGTTCAATGTAAAGGTATAAGTGTCACAACATGTCATCACCAATGTCTCTAGGCTTCCCTGACCAACTGAGGTAGATGAAATGAAAAAGCAAGACGTAGCTCCCTGACAAAATTTTTACAAGTTTTATTGTATGGCATCATGAACTCCTTTAGGCTCTCCTGACCAAATGTCACATGCATCGGGTAAACGGGCAAGCCGCAGGACACCAAAATGTAAAACATGATATTTCCTGTTACAGCAAGGGGGCACTATGACCATTATTACATATTATCATATAGATCCGTTCAGGGTGGGACCTGTCATACATTTGAAATTTAAGGCAGATTGGACTACTCACCTTAAACACAACTTTGAATCGTAGACTTTCAGTGATTAGGCCCTGTGTTTGTCTTTATTTTTATTATAAGGACATATTGTCATTATCCTTATGTCCATTGTAGGGCTGTTTAAACTTGGCAGTAAACAGGATTTTTTCGTCGATACCAGAACCCGTCCAAGAAGTTTGGTTCAAGTTTGGTGTTTTTTTTTGTGTGGTTTTTACTTTACTTTCACAAATCCTTGCGTTAAAGCTTTATTTTGAAGACCAACCCCTTAGCGGAATTTCCTCTACGTCACTTCCTGGTTAGGACGACAGAGAAGAGCGCGAGATAGGAATCCAAGAGCGCGGAGGAGAACCCGGGCTGCACCGCTGCCTCCACCGGCCAAAACAACGACAGCTCACCGACAACTCACCGACAACCAGCCTCCGGCACCGCCGCTCAACGGGTTACACACCGTATAAACACTTCACACGACGGAGGACATACATGACGTGTAACGGCAGCAGGACTTTCCACCGTCGCAGCGCTAACAACAGAAACAGAGGGAAATGTCCTGGTGGCCGCGCTGGTAGGTTGTTTGTTTGTCTTGAACCTTCAATACAACTTTTATTTGAACTCAAGTGAATTCAACGCGTCTGTGTAATTTACAGCATTAAAACCTTCAGTCATATATATACATATATATATATATATATTAGTTTAGTGGCCTTAACCTATGAGTAGTTCACGGACTGTTGTGTGAGTGTGTGCCGCCCTTTCCCATAAACAGCGCCAGACACACTTCCCATCAGATTACATTGGTTTAATGAAACTAATAATGTGCTCATCCGGTCACTTTGATATAAAACTGTGTGGCAGTGGTGTAGCTGTTTGCACTTATGAACCTGATAATCGAGTTCCCCCGCCAGGGCGGGCCAAGCGGCGGCTGGTTCCTGCATCACGGTCACTTGGCTTCATGCACTCAGCGCTGTGTTGCTCTTTCAGTGAGGATGGGGAGGAAGCCATGGTCCAAGACACCGACTCTGATGTGGCCGAGCAGAGGGACGGTGGCAGGGTCAAGGTGAAGTGGACACAAGAGGAGGTGATTGTCTGAACATGTCCCTGCGGTTTGCATCTCTCAGTGTCTGATTCAACAGAACGTGAATGATGCTATTGTGTCCATTTTGACAGGATGACAAGCTCAAGGCTCTGGTTCAGAAACTGGGACCAACTGATTGGAAATATGTTGCCAGCTACATCCCAGTGAGTTTAACTTCCTGTTGGTTATTATAGTGAACAGGGGGGCCTCTTGGCGGTGTGATTTTTAACAGATTTTTTTTTTGTTTGGCTTAGAATCACACTGAACTCCAGTGTCAGCATCGCTGGTTTAAGGTCCTGGACCCAGAATTAATTAAAGGGCCTTGGACCAAAGAGGAGGATGATAAGGTAGGTAACTATATACTATATACTTATAGTATACTTATACTTATATCCAGTGTGATTTGTGAGTGAGTTGTAATACATATGCACACTCCTCAGGTCATAGAGCTTGTAAATCTCTACGGCAACAAACAGTGGGCAATTGTAGCCAGGCATCTGAAAGGCAGACTGGGGAAGCAGTGCAGAGAACGCTGGATCAACCACCTCAATCCGGACGTGAAGAAGTCATCGTGGACAGCCGAGGAGGATCTCATCATTTACAAAGCTCACAGTCTGATGGGAAACCGCTGGGCTGAAATTGCCAAGCTGCTCCCTGGAAGGTAAAAGACTCTCCATGTTCTGGTTGAAGCTCAGGGGTTAAATTGTTAACCCAGTTTTTGCAGAGAAATGAATCCTTTCTATCTTGATAGGATTCATGCCATAACATTTATTCACAGAACAGACAACGCAGTGAAGAATCACTGGAATTCGACCATCAAACGGAAGTTGGAGATGGGCTTCTATGCCGGGGAGGTCATCAAGCCAGATGAACTTGCAGAGATGTGGGCCTGTGTGAATAAGGATTTGCAGGTGGGTTTTCTTTACATGATGCTCTCCAGGGAGATGCATCCAGTAGAACGCAAGCTGGGGATTGTTGAGCCTTTATCCTTCGGTTCTTTATCAAAGTTACAAACATAGAATGGGGGACATTGTTGTTTTGCCTTGATGCTGGCAACAGAGGAAGTCACATAGCTGAGTCAACAAAAATGGGACGTGGTACAGATGCAGATGCTATTGTGTTACTTGTCACCACTATGAATTTGAAATACTGTCATGTGAAAGAAAATCACACATGTGGCAGCATGATGCTGGTTTTATTAGGTCCAATGAAAACGTTGCTCTCTGATTACACAGATTCCTGGTGTCTCTCAGGATGGCGATGACCACGACCCAGAGCAGAACACGCATCCTCCAGTACGTGACCACTTAAAACAGGTTTTAAATACAACAAGATTTTAGATTTTAGTTAACTGAAATAATATCTGCGTTACTCAATAGTTATTTTATTTTTTTAGCGACATGGTTGATAAAGTTGTCTACTTTTGTCACCTGGTGCAGGAGAGGCCGTTCCCCACCCTCGATGAAGCCAGCCTCAGCGAAGCAGGGCCGTCTAAGGCTGTCCTCTCTCCAAAGGGCAGCTCTTACATTAAGACAGAAGTGGATACCTCAGGAGAAGTAACCTGCACCAACTGGGTGGTGGACAGCTCTGGCTTCCTCTCCCCTGCTGGCCCGGGCCTGAAGGAGGTGATGGACATGGTGGATGGGGTAAGAATCCCCAGCACTCGAAACAGACCCCGTTCAGACGTGGCATCAACACAAATGCGCCATGGGCCACATATGAAGGACCGCCTTCTAAGCTGACGACCTCCAATCCGCAACTGTTTCCCAATGAATCAAACATATTTTTACTATTCTCAGTGCCCATATGTTGATTTGTGTGTGGCTGTAATCTTAACATTGATTGATCAACACATTATGATTGATACTTTTATTAAATTGGTAATAGCTTATATCAAAGCAGATCTTTAGATATTCATTCCCAGTCCTCTGCCACTGTCTCTCTCTCTCTTTCTCTGCTGATGTTGACACAGAGATACATGCACACAAACACGGGGACATCCGACACATCTGTTACTTTAGATTGGGTAAAAGCAACATAATTTGATCTTCAAAAATGACAAATTATCTACATAAAGATGGGGAAGGGAGATCCGATCACAAAAACCAGACAAGAATGAGGCGCTTTCAGGATTCATTTTAATACCAGACGTGAAAAGGGCCACAGTCACACCTCCAACAGCATAACATATAATTTACATGTATATGTAATAGCACACAGTCCTCTGAGCTACTGTTTAATGACTGCTTTAATCTACTGATGGAGAATGGCGTTCTAGAGAGTAAATATATACAGATGTTGGGGTTTTCTGGAAGCATTACTATCAATTTAAAATGTGTCCTCTCCTCTCAGGACCTGGACGGCTGGTGCAACCTTGCAGCCTTTGACCTGCCCGAGGAGAGTCCGAGCCCCGAGCGCCACCAGTTTCGTCTGGAGGGCAGCGCATTGCAGGAGTTGAGCAAAGGCAGCAGGGGGGAACTCATCCCCATCTCTCCAGGAGGGGTGACACCGCCCTCCACACTGCACCGCAGAAGCCGGAGATACATCGCCTTGTCTCCCGATGCCAACAACTCCATGACTCCGAAGAGCACTCCTGTCAAAATCTTGCCCTTTTCTCCATCTCAAGTGAGATCTTAGACTTTAACTCTTTACTACAGACTGTTCTGCTCCCTCTTTTGTCATGTGAAGTTGACTAATGTCTCGTTTCAGTTCCTCAACATGTGGACCAAACTGGATAGTCACGACCTGGAGAACCCTTCCCTCACGTCCACGCCTGTGTGCAGCCAGAAAGCCATTGTTACTACACCGCTGCAGCGAGACAAGACGCCCCTCACTCAAAAGGAGAACTCGGTGTACGTGCTCTCTAAAACCTCATCTGGTGTTAAGTGTTCCGTCACTTTGCTTTTTGATTTTGAGCCTCAGTGTTCACGTTTGGTTTTTGTGTAGGTTTGTGACACCCAACCACAAGTCCAATCTCTGCGAGACTCCACGAACTCCAACGCCGTTCAAAAATGCCATGGAGAAGTACGGCCCTCTGCAGCCTCTGGTCAGTGTCTGTCTGTGACTGTCAGTGGGTTTATTGTTATTTATCAACACCGCATTAACTCTGTTTTCTGCTGCGTTATCTCAGCCTCAGACTCCAAACCTCGAGGACGACATAAACGAGGTCATCCTAAGAGACGCTGGAATTGACTTGGCTGTACGTTACTCTCCACCCGAGCAAAGACGCAAAACAATGGTAACTATGAGTCAACCTTTACCATGTATGAGTGTTTTTTATTTTATTTTATTATTCCATCCATCTGCCCGAGAGAAACACTGGTGGACAATCTCACCTCGCTCTACCCTTCCCACATCTGTTTGTTCTGCAGTCGCTAGAATGGTCTGTTGACATACGGACAAGTTCACACCTTGGAGCAGTACATTACAGTGACAGTCCTCCATTGTTTGTCAACAGGCTGCTGCACAGGAGCAACTGACTGTGAAAACACTTGTCCATTCAGTTCCCCCAACCAGAAAAACATTTACCACCACCATGCAAGAATGCTTTCGGTTAACCCCCACAGTGCAAGCGTCTTACTAGGAACACCACACTATTACTATGTAGAGCCTCTCTATGCTCTCTCTCTGTTCACCTAGACATTGATCAACATCACTTCAACAGATTTGTCAGCTGCACATTCAACACTTCTGCCAACACAAAGGTGTTCTATATGATAACACCCAGGACGAGAGACACATTTGTGTCTAGGCGCCACTTTTCATTGACATTGTATGTAATCTCGGCGCAGGACTTTTTAATGAATTGCTCTGCTGCCACATTATTTGCTGATTATGTAATTCCTGTTATTGCCTATATTTTAGACTAAAAATCTCATAAACATTCATGCAGAAAATTTTTGTTCATGTCTTGGCGCTTTTTGTTGTTTTTATTCCAAGCATCGTCCTATGAAGAAAGTGCGGAAGTCGTTGGCCCTAGATGTCATGGACTGCCAAGTGACAAAACGCAAATCCATCAAGACTGAATTCAAACGCAGCATCAAGGTAAAAAAAAAAAAGTGTGCTAATTTAGTTTCTCTATTCGCAGGTTTGATGAGTTCTAACTCTTGGCTTTTTCTTCTTTTTTGGCCACAGGAAGAACCTATGTTAGTTTCTATGAACTCCTCGTCATCATGCAGTAAGAGGCATGAAAATATTTTGGATCAAGGCTTCCTTTTGGGACCAGGTGACAGTGCCATATTTCCCAGCACGGCACCCCCAGTTCCTGTAAGTTTAAGCTTTAACCTTAAAAGGAACAAATATCCTCATCAGTGGAAAATTGCTTTTCTACTTTGACCTAATTCTAACGGGACATATTTTCTCTCCTTTCAGATGTCAAAAGAATGGGAGAAGGTTGTTTGTGGACAAACTAAAGACCAGCTCATAATGACAGAGAAAGCCAGGCGCTACCTTCGATCTTTAAGATCCCACGCACCCAACCGGGCTCTGATTCTGTCCTGAGACGTCTCTCATCTTTCCACCGACATGTTACACAGTTTGCAATGTTCCTGTTGCTGTTTGTTACTGCCATTTTTAATGTTGGAGGAAAAAACCATGTCATGTGTAGGTTTAGCAGAAATTTTGAACAAGTCATTAGCAATCAAAACCTTAACAGTATATAGCTCAATCAATAATTTGAGAGAGAACTATACTTTTAGATTTAGTCTCACTCTAGTGACCTTGTATAGGACTGGAAGTTAGAATCATATTTCATTGTGTTGTCCGTTGAAACGTGTTTCAGAAGAACAATGAATGTAAAAAAGAAAAATCACGACTCTGTGCCGTCGCTATCTGAAAAGACATGGTTTTACATTGGTGATGATCTGTAATTTAACAGTGTTTTAAAATTGTGACCAGTAAAAACACTCAGGTTGGGTTTCCATGTCTATATTTGTAATATAACATAATGTAGGTTTGATTGTGGAGAAAATTCAGACAGGTTGACTTGTGATGCAGTTCTTGTTGAAAGTGTTAATTGAAGATTTTCTTGTTCCGATCTGTTAAGCTAATGTATAGATTTATGAAAAACATTATCAGTCACCTCATCAGGGGGAAATTTGATGCCTGCTGAAAAATTCAGAGACTGGAGCCCACATCAAGGTCATTAAGATTCAACAAAGTGAGATGTTTGTTTTTTATGCAATATTGAAAGATTGAGATGTGATGGGGGAATGGAAGCTGTACTGACCTTCGATGGCGATTATGTAATTTGGCACTGCATGTAAATATATAGTGTTGTATGCTTTTACTTCATCATACAACCTTTTGCTGAGAAATGCAATAAAACAAATGCTATTGCGTCTACTTCATGATGTGACGTTTTTAACTGTTCAGCTCAATGTAATGATATGTTTAAGAGTTTTGTGCAGTTTTTCACATGGTAGTAGCTGATTACAGGTTTTAGTTTGCCATTCAAAATAAGACAAAAGAATGAATTGGGAAAATAACTTTATAAAGAATGTTTATATTTTTCACTTGATGCATATTCAGTCTTATTTTTATCTGCTTAAAACCACAACAAAATTCAGAACTCTATATTTGGAGCCTTTTTTTAAATGCTATTACAAATGTGCCCATAGCATACACACACTTCAGCCTCAGTGATTTGCCTGCACTTGTTGAAAGTAATTCTTGATCCTGGTGGTGTAACTGGGCCACCTTGCGGCTGTGCTGTGTATAGTGGTAGTTCAAGTCAGACACCCACTTATCATCCAATGTGTGATGTTGAGTGTGATTTTTTACGTTGTGTCATTCTTCCCTTCTCAGAAACCACACAAAAAACCCCACACAGACCCACATACACTTGACACCTGCCAAATTATAACTTCAACTTTATTTATAAAGCACTTTAAACACAACATTGTTGATCTAAAGTGCTTCACAGGAAATACGTGATAACAGAAATGTAGGGATATCAATAAAAACAACAATCATAATAAAAAGCAACAGTTTAGGCACATTGAAAGGCTAAAGAATAAAAGTGTTCAAACTGGAACTTCTGGACTATTTAACCAGTGTTGGTTGGTGGTTCTTTCCAGGAACCCAAGTCATACAGAAGTAACTGTCAGCTATCACTTTCTTTTGATTATAAACTCTATTGTCTACCAAATCACAGATAAATTCTACTGCAACTAATACTACTATTGATCATAATAATAATACCTCCCACTCTGGAACAATCTCCCTGAGGAGATCCGTCTGAAGAACCAATTATCTTCTTTTAAATCTTTCTTACAGACACATTTTTATATGTGTGCTATCTCCCAGTTCTGATATTACCAACTTTAAAATCATCCCTCAAGGTTTTATTTGATCTTGTTTTTACTCTTTTCTCATCTGTGACACTATTTTTGTATATATTTGCTCGTATGTTCTTCTTCTATGATCTTCATTATATTATTATTGTGATTATGGTTATGAATATTATTATAATGTTATTTTTTCATATTCTATTTGTCAATAACAAGTTCAAATGTAACCCATGGCTATCATGCATAAATAACATCAAGCTAGCGTCGTGCTCTTATTATGAAATGTAAAGGTGTAACCGGATGTTTGACCTCTGCTGACAGCTCATTCTTTGAGACACCGGAAGCACTCGTCGGTTTTGGTGACGCTGCATTAGACTGGAAGACATGGACCGGCTCAGTAAGTGAATTCATTCATTAATTTAGGAGATAATGTTGAATATGCGTGTTCTTCCTTTTAATGGCGTCACATGTGCAGTTATACAAGCTCCAGAATTAAACTAATGGAGGAGAAATGGCGTCGCACTGAGCGGCTTCCTCCTCTCGTTAGCTTGCTCGCCTGCTAGCTAAACCTGCATCGACTCGAAGAGCTTCATGTCAATGACTGAACACCAGACTAAATGATTAGTTTCATTTCCTCGGATCAAACTAACAGAGCAAAAACGTTCACCGATTAACTCTGGTTCATTCTGCCCGCTCTGTGTCCGCAGGGCTGTTCGAGTGGTTCCTCCTGTGTCTGGCTCTCGCCGGAGCTCAGGCGCTCACACCGGCGCACCACCTCTCCTTGGCCGACGTGGCCCGGCTGCAGAGCCTCCTGAGCCCGCAGTTCACCGACCTGGAGTCCGCCTACCACTCTGTGGTCGGGCTGACCAAGCTTGGAGGGGCTGTTCCTGATCACGATGTAAGATGGTCACTCCAGGGTGATTACTAAAATGGCACGGAAGTCTGGGCGCTTGAATTAAATATTCATTCCTAATTCAAATGATCAAACACTCATGTTCTGTATCTTTGTTATGTGTTGTCTTTAGCACGTTTGTCAGTTCCTGAAATCCCAGCTTGATCCCATGAGTGTCGACTCGATCTTCTTTGCTGCTGAGACCAGTCAGGCCATTTCAGGATGTGAGGTATGGAATGTTAATTTAAAAACCCCGTTTTACTTTTTATCATCACAAACATTATTTACAGAAAATAAATGTGTGGTGGGACTGGACAATATAATAATATAACTATTACGTCAGCCAAGGAGGTTACGTTTTTATCAGCATTTGTTTGTTTGATATTCAGAGATTTCTAAATACATTTCTCCCCAAACATATCCATCCGATTTCCACTAAATTATGTGGCGCGGTGGGACATGACTCAAGGAAGAATCCAGTAAATTTGAGGCAGATCCCAGAATCCTTTTCACTTTTTTCAACATTGTGTTAGAGCTTTTCACTGATTTCCCAGGGGAATAATTCTAGAATCTCAATGAAAATATCAGGTATATTCAGGAAACTGATATCTATGAGTTTGTAAAACTTGGTGCACCTTGATTGATTTTAAAGGGACCGTTGGGCCTTGGTGGAGCCTGTGTGCTCTACTGTGTGCAGTTCTTGTCAGTAGGTCTTCTCAAAAATAGGGATTTAAGTATTAGATCCACAGTATTGTTTCATGATCAAGATGTAGTGGCTGATGCTGAGCTATAGTACCGAACTTAAAATGAAATTCTTTCGTTCACTCCATAGATCCCTGTGTCCAATGAAACCCGTGACATCCTCCTGGCAGCAGTTAGTGAAGACTCCACTATGACTCAGATTCATCGTGCTGTGAGTGCACTCAGCTCCCTGGGACTTTCCGTGACCTCTCAGGAGGTCGTAGGTGCCCTGGTGGCTCGCATCAACAAGGAGGACAATGTCATGGCGTAAGTGTTGGATGTACTGGTTTGTTAAGAGCATTTACAATCTGTGGGGAGGGCCCTTTAGTGCTCACGGGCAAAACAATTTGAACATTTCAATTCACAACAATGTTCTCTTTGGGCAGCATCACCTTGGCTCTGCAAACAGCAGCTCGCCTCTCCCAGCAGGCAGAACTCGGAGGAATACTTGAGGAGATTGAGGTGAGCGCTTAACCTCCACCAGGTGGTGCTGTTTTATTGTTCTTTGACTCAGAGCAAGACACAATGGACTTTAAATAATGTGCAGTGAAGTGTTTTTTGTTTTCAAGTATAATCGTGTTTAATAAATATTTACTTTTTTTAATTTCAGGATCTGACAGCTCGTTTGGATGACCTCGGTGGCATCTACCTCCAGTTTGAAGAAGGACTTGAGGCAACTGCCATGTTTGTGACTGCTGCTTACTCCCTGTCAGATCATGTAGACATGGAGCCTCCCCTCAAGGAGGTACGATTTATGTCAATCATGAGGTATGTCAGGTTTTATCATCTCTCTTCAAATGTTTAAACTAATAGACGGTTTGTTCTCCCCCCACAGGAACAGGTCATTCAGCTGGTGAATTCCATCTTCAGCAAGAAATCCTGGGACTCTCTGGCCGAGGCTTTCAGTGTGGCAAGTGCCGCCGCTGCTCTGTCCAACAACCGCTTTCATGTCCCGGTCATCGTCAGTGCTCAGGGCCCAGCCACAGTGTCCCACAGCCAGCCAACCCTGCAGGTAGGCATGTCGAATCTTCACCAAGCTGCAGTCCCCAGTGTGGTTTGTGATCATCCTGTAGTGAGACTCTCTCTCTGTGTTGCCTTCACAGCTCCTTGTTACTGATGTCATGTCTCAACCTCTGGCTTCAGCCAATGTGCTGGTGGAATCTGCGTACGCTGTGGCCTCCAAGAGCGTCATACTCAGCCAAGCACGCTTCACTCTTAATGAGTATGTACTGTTTGAGAGATTAGTGCCAGGTTTACATTACTCTCGCAGGACTGTTCTGTAGGATTTCTTCAGCAGTACTGTCTGGTTGTGCTGCAACATTCACTGTGTAATTCCTGTTTTCTAGTGGCGTCTTTGAATTGAACTTCATGTCCAACCAGCCCGCCAGTGGATATTACCAGTTTACCATTGCAGTTACTGGGGATACCAGACTGGTGGCCAATCACGTCGAGGTGATTTGTCTCTTATACTCATTTATAATTATTTGTATCTTACTTACTTATATATAAGTAGTGTATAATTAAAACATTGTAGGTGTGTATTCTAGTAATGCATGTGATACTAAAACCATAACAGCTGTTGTATAGGTTGATTCAATGACTTAAGGAACTTTCTAAAGCTCTGTATTAAAGTAATTATATTATTTAGCATTTATGAGCTTCACTCATAGAATGGACTAGAAGGTATACTTGTTTTAATGATTCTTGCAAAAATCTCAATTTTATGGAACTGAAAACCTAAATCACTGGAGTTTTTTGGTTTTAATCATAAAGTAAACAAGCAAAGGGATGCAAATGATAATGTGCTCACATTGCTTGATTACAGTAGGTGAGACTCATGATCTGTCTGTGTTAACCTGCAGCTGAAAGTAAAGGTGTCTACTGAGGTGGCCATTACTACCATGGACCTCTCTGTGGTGGATAAGGACCAGAGCATCGGCACAAAGACCACCAGGTCAGAAAACGAGTTTGAGAAGTGAACCGCGTTTTGCTGCTCCTTAGTGGTATGACCATGTAAACCTAACTGCTTACCTTTTTCTAAATGACCCAGAGTGGACTACCCCTCCAAAGCCAAGAGCTCATTCACCGCAGACAGCCACCAGAACTTTGCCATGTCCTTCCAGCTGGTTGACGTCAACACTGGAGTTGAGCTCACTCCTCACCAGGTATGTAATCACAGTGAGACAGTGACACATGTAAAGTCTCTTCTATGACGCTGACTCCATCTACCTTCATTATCACTTTTGTGACCATGCCACCATTATATTATACATGTGGTTAGTCAAAGCAATCACGAGAACAAGTAAGGTCACTGTGACTTTTTATGAAAATGGATCTCTCTGCATTTAGGATTAAGATCTTTTCACTTTCTCTGTCCCAGACTTTTGTTCGACTACACAATCAGAAAACTGGCCAAGAGGTCGTGTTTGTGGCTGAACCCGACAGTAAGAGCCTGTACAAGTTTGAGTTGGACACAGCGGAGCGGAAATCTGAGTTTGACTCCATCTCTGGAACCTATTCCCTCCATCTTATTGTTGGGGACGCAACCTTGGAGAATCCCATCTTGTGGAACGTGGTGAGTATCAATTCCACCTGAGTGGTGGTAAATAATGAGGATCATTTACAAATAACCAGACAATGAGATGTCAACACTGAGGTCTAAACCTGAGTTGTAATCTTTTTGAAAGGCTGATGTTGTTCTCAAGTTTGTGGATGAAGAGGCCCCAGCCACTATTCAGTCCAAGACCCTTTATGTGCCCAAACCAGAGATCCAGGTAATGTTATTTAATCTGTACTTGATTTGATTTGATGCACGACCACACAAAATAAAATGAGATGCTCTGGGTAGTTTTCCAGCTGTTGAAAATCTCCTTGTCTCTGCAGCACTTATTCAGAGAACCAGAGAAGAAGCCTCCCACCGTGGTCTCAAACACCTTCACCGCCCTCGTCCTGTCTCCTTTACTGCTTCTGCTCATCCTGGTAATGTTTCACACGTTGTGCAAAATGTTCCCTGTTTTCCTAAACTAGAGCAAATGTGTGGAACTAATAATGTATCTTATTTAAGGGCAGACCTAAAAACTATTCTAATCCCATTATTAATTAAACAGAGCATACAGTGTTGTTGTTGTAAACACAGTAGTCAGAAAGCCCTTCAGTAGGAAGCCTTCGTCCTCAGTGAATGAGGCTCCAGCACTGCTTGAATATAATGCTTATTTTAATTTGAAATCACAAAAGCTAGGAGATATTTTTTTCCTGACATTTGCAGTGCTGAGTAATAGTTATTGTCACCCTGGTTCGGTGCATTGTGTGTCAGGCTGTAAACAATTTTTCAGCCCTTTTGTTTGCAGCTCTTGAAGAGGGATGGAAATCACATTGTCTTTTATTCCCCCCTCTCCTCTTCAGTGGTTCAAGCTCGGAGCCAACATCTCCAACTTCAGCTTCTCTCCCAGCACCATTCTGTTCCATCTAGGACACGCAGGTTAGTCTCCTCCTTGTTGATCACAGACACTGTTATCTTACAGCCTCTTCATCTGCTATTCATCTGCTGTTCAAGATGAGCAGTGAACTGCAGTGAAGATTGGGTGACACTGTGCTTAATCATCATTCATTTAAAACATGAATTATTCATGAAATTCCACATATAAACTCTGAATGTTGTGTTGTACAGAGGGTTTCCCTGCAAATGCTCACTGTGTTTTGAGAAAATCTGCTGAATGAAACATGCGTTAATGTGAGTCTACGAGTTTTGAGTCTACTGTGAGTGTAATGGGTAGGTTTATTGAGATAAACAGCTGTTGCTGCTATATTTATAGTTGGATGATGCGGTGAGATAATGTACACTCTCAGTCAAATCTCAAAAAGGAACATATTGGTTTCAGAAGAAACTATAATAGCATGTAGTGACCAAAATGATGCTAAAACGCAATGATATAACTTGTGTGATATAATACATGTGATTATCAAGTTTTTGTCTAAACAAATATCAGTTTCAACATGATGGAAAAAGCTTTAGACGGGCACAATATATCTTTTATTTTAAATTGATATTTGAGTCACTTTTTCTGGTGTTGGAAATATCTGTTATAGTTGAGGAAACATCTTCAGTAACTCACCATCAGGGCATTCCCTGTACACACGGTCTTTGTATGTTCACTAAACAGTTTGACACGTGTCTTTTATGATGATTATAGATCATATAGTATAAATACAGGGTTGAACGAGAATGTTACTCACTAGAGCGTATACCTCCTCCAACAGTCTCCTTAAATTCAAACATGCTGCACCAAAGTTCACACTAACTTAGATATCAGTCTCCTAAACATACCTGATGTTTGTCCACAAGACCCATTCATTATTTCTTTCAAAAATCACTTAAATGTCATAAAAATGCCTTACCTTGCAATGTTAGAGAAAATGGAAAACATTTCCTGGATCAAATCTGCTCCAACGTTTAATAAGTTCTTTCTTGGCCCTTGTCTTGTCTCTCTGCCAAGTCTCAAGAAAGAATCGGCTCAGCAGTGTTTGTGTAATCCTGCTGACAGTCAGAAAACCTGACAAATAGCAATGAAAACACAACTTACTTTGCAGAGTTGACAAACAACTTGCTGTTGTTGCTTGGGAATTTGACAAGTACTACTGTCGAGAAGAGAGCAGCAGTTCTTTCATATTTCCACAGCGATTTAGAACAGAGTTTGTCAAACTGTGATGCACAGGCGCACGCTGCTGTTCTGAAAACTACAGGAAGATTGTCACAGTAGTTGATGCTGATGAGGCCCGTTTACCAACAGAGCTGCGACTCACCTCATGGAGACATTTAAAACACTTTGAAACATATATCTGCACAGTTGTTGGAATTTGCATCAAAATGCATCTCAGTCAGACGTGACTTGAACAACGTGTTACATTCTTTTGAATTCAATAAACACACTCCTTACAAGTCCAGTTCTTGCCCCAGAGTCATTAGGTATTCTCCCAGATACAAGCAAACCATTGAGTTGTCATTACATCGATGGGTTAATTGCAAAAAGGAACAATTAAAAGATAATTAAGCATGATTTTAATGGTGCTAGTTTTTACTCACTGCACACAAATATCAGTTAAAACAAAACAAGGCTGAAGTTGTAGCTCTTCTGACCTGGACTTGATTTCTCTAAGAGATTAGATTATCTGCCGTTCTTTTTTATGTGTCTGAAAACACAATGTAGAAATGTAGTAGATGAAAATATCACCATAATTGTATTTGATGTTTTATCCATTGGTCGGTTCTTTAAGTACCCTAATGTGTATGATTGACATCAAAATATGTTAAACCAAATTGTAAATATGAAGGTGTATTGTATATTGCTTTACCCAGCAGCTATTTAGTCAGGATGCTAATGTTCACTCTGTGGTTTCCTTTTAGCCATGCTGGGCCTGATGTACGTCTACTGGACCCACCTGGACATGTTCCAGACCCTGAAGTACCTGGCGATTATTGGTGGCGTTACTTTCCTCGCAGGGAACCGCATGCTGGCGCAGAAAGCAGTGAAGAGGTACGTCTCGTGATGGTACCTGGCACAGATGGTACCCTAGAGGGTCCTTAATCCCAGAGAGAAAGCCTGGCCCCTTTTCAGACGACGAGGAGTCTGACGTTTTCAGGCCTCTTGGTAGCTCTTGGCTTCAAAGCTTAGGAAAAGTGCCTGTTCTATATCTGTAGCCCGTCAGTTGGTCCCCAGAGGCTGATCTCAGTGCCAGGCTTTCTGCCAAGAAGGGATCTCGCACCTACTTGGGCCAGTAGAGAAGCATCAAGATCTGCAAGAGTGATGATTTGAGTGTGCAATTTCTTTGACCATCAATATGTAGAGCCCTCCACGTGCCAGAGTGAGCCATTTGTAGCCTGTGTCACTGACTCAAGAAGTCTCCTTGTAATTACTCACTTTAATTGCTTACTCTTACGACGAGCCGCTTAGCCCTTTTTATGCAAGTACAACGTGGCGATTACCGATTTCACAAATGCCATTTTTTACTAGTCGGGATTTCTTCTTCTTCTTTCTTCTTGCCTCTGTCTCTTTTTAACCCTTCTGTCCACACCTTGCTGTCTCTGTACTCCTCTTTCAGGATCGCTGCAGAGCAGAGTAGTAGGTTGGCAAAGTATAGGAGCCTACGATAAAGCCCCTCGTTTGTAACAAAGAGTTGATCGTGCTTCCAGGCTGAAGTAAGGGCCTCCTCAGAGCCTGCATCCACAGTGTATTCCCATAGTGGCTGGCAGCGTGCATGGCTGCGTGCTGTTCACTCATTCTAACCCCCCCGAGTGTTCACATGTACTTGCCGCCCCCCCCCAGTTTGCCTCTTTGCTCATCCCACCATGATCATGACATTGTGCTCTAACACTCATGGTTGTGTCATCACGTTTCAGTGACATGTTTTGTGTTTGTGAGCCAAAGTTTGCATCGTCTGAAACTTTCGGTGTTTTGTCAACCTACATTCTGTTTGTTGTGAAAGGCCGCACATCAAAATGCTGCATGGTCAACTGTTTAACAGGACTTACCAGGAATCAGGTGTTAAATAAAGAATTCATTCATCCCATGTCGGTATTAACTAATGTACATTTTTCCCTCTCTTCTGCAGAATTGAGAAAAAATAAAGAAGAAAATAAATAAAAAGAAGACACTGACGAAGATAATGTTTTAATTCCAAGGAGTTGTTCAACAAAATCAGACTTAAGACCGGCACAGCAATTCAAGAGTCCAATCAACCGTTAAAACATGCAGTTTGTCTGTGTTGCCAAACAGAAGAATTTGAGATACGACGGCGTCTCTTGAGGACAAACGCTCACTGACAGATTCTCCTTCTGAGGACTGTAAAGCTACTGATCATTGCACTTCATCTTCCTGTGAGATTTGTTTTCTTATCGTCCAACGTACCAGAGTTTTCTACGTGAGCTGGGTTTTTTTTATTTGTGGGTTTTCTTCATTGAATTTGGGTTCATCTGTGTTTTTTTTTTTTTTTTTTTNCACCTTCTGTGACTCCATAATTGACACTGTGGAGTCTTTCCGCTTCCTGGGAATTATCATCTCCCAGGACCTCCAGTGGGAGCTGAACATCAGCTCCTTTTCTTATCTTCTTATATTTAGAGATGTCTATAGCATGCACCAACAACACCAAAACAAATTCCATGTATGTGCAAACTTACTTGGCAATAAAAGCTTTTCTGATTCTGATGTAAGGTGTCCTTGAGTATCATGAAAGGCACCCATAAATAAAATGTATATTCTTATTATTAGTAGGCCTTGTCATTCCAAAGAATAAGGCACTAATGTTGAGTTACTAATATCATCATGGCCCTCAGATGGGCATCTTCACTACGTATGCTGTTGACGGAAGCAGGGCGAGTATCTTGCCAAAGTTGTTACCACCCCATAGGAGGCAAATGACATATTTATGGCTTTCCATGCGAGTGAGCATGGAGGCCATTGTGGGATGGAAAAAAAATGAGGATGCCATTTCCTTGTGGTTCTACTGGCATGGGATAGAAAAGGACATATGAAAATTGTTGAGCTTTATCTAAATTTGTTAGTAATCTCTGTGTCCCTCTCCTGTGTTCCTCTCAGTGTTCCTCTTTGTGTTCATCACTCATTCCTGTTTTATTTTGTAAATGGTAAATGGTTGTATTTATATAGCGCTTTTCTAGTCTTGAAGACCACTCAAAGCGCTTTACACTACAGTTTGCCATTCACACACACATTCATACATACAGTGCATCTAGAATAGCACTTTTATTATTGTTGTTAGACACATTAGACACTAACTGTAAGGGGCTTTGGCTATAATCATAATATACAGCTCCTGTTGTTTGAATAATACCTTGTTTGCCTTTTCCAATTTGCCCAGTTGATGTATCTGAAACAGAGGTGCTCTGTGTTTGTGGATCCTTTTGGGACACAGAAGGATGCATTAAAAAAAATTCGTATTCATTAGTACTCTGCTACACATGGCTTTCATGAGGCAGCAAGGCCTCAACTGGTCCCGCTGGTCCTGTGACACAATTGCACACGCCCATCAAGAGGATGCAACATCATGTGGTGTTATTGTGTGTAAAGTAAATGAACATGCTTTGAATCAATCAGTTCAGAAATAAATGGTTGGACTGCATCCCTGTGTTATCCACTTGTCTTTGTTCCAGTTAGCAGACATGATTTTAAATGAAGAGGACATACAATAGATGTCATTTTTAATAAGCCTGTGTTCACAACTCTCAGAATGCAGATAGGCCAACAGCTAATCCAAGAAACAGGTTGGTTTGGGATTTTTTTTTTTTTGTCGCTCAGTGCCCATTTCACCTCACACCAGTTCAGTCAACGTGTTTTGGCTGATTTAAACAGCGGCAGCACTGACACTTGGATCATTGCTAACTTTGCCAGTGTCTTTGCCTGTTTGCTGGATCAGACATGTCGGAGGAGCAGTAGTGTCCCATTTGATACTGAGTTGATGTCCCCCTGAAAAAATGTTAATAAATAAATGGGCCATTCGAGGATGTGATGTTTTTGTAATGATGAGAAGGAAATAAAGATATTGAGGTGAATCAAAGTCTCTGTCTTTGTTTTATCCCCCAGAGAATATTTGAATAAGACTTATTACATCTTCAATATATTTACTGAATGGATTGAAAAAGTAAAAGTTGAGAGGGAGATAAAGGAGAATCTGTTGCAATCTAATCACAGACCCAGAGAGAGTATGTCATTATGACCTGAGGTGAAGATATCAGTAAGGAACCAAAACACTTCATGATACCTTACCATGCGTGTTCTCTTGCTGAGCTGTGCTGGTAGATGCTAACAAAATGATTCTCGTAATTAAAAGATTTGGTTTGATCCACTGCAACTTTTTATTATTTAAGAATGTGTCTTTTTATTGATTAGAGCAACAAAAAAAAAAGTTTCTTCATTTAAGGCCACACGGTCTTGATGTAACGCCACACGAGTGAGACAGTTTTAATCACCGCAGCAGGAAAGTCACAGATCACGTGTGATAAATAACACTGATGGTTTCATTCCATTCAAACATCTCATTAAACCAAGTGATCAAGCACCTGAAAGGACACGAAACTCGACAGGAAATGTTGATCAAGCACGTCCTGCTTGTGGTACATGTGCAGAAGTTCTAAGAGTCTGAAGTACTTCTGCAGAATGGCTTCTGTCAGTGTTATATTATTGCACACATATATCACTGGATGATTATTACTGGAGCGAACAACAGCTTTGTAATGTCGCAGGTGAAGCTGGAGCTAAATCTAAATGAAGTTCAATGCATCGTGTTTCATGCACTGATCACATGTTTTTAAGGTTGGACAACTAACTGGTTTAGTTCATCTGATCTGCTGCAGTAGATTTTGTACATAACCTTTTATGAAAAATGCAAAGATTTTCTCAGAAATGAAACAGATATATCAAGTAATAAAAAACCTTAACACTCAATTTAAGCACTAATCCGTCAGAAATGTTTTAATTCTGTTTCTTCAGCATGAGCCACATCCTAATAAGCATTGTAGAAACACTGGACAGTTTTCTTCACAGCTTTTAATGACAATGATTAAAAAAAAAAAAAACGACATTATTGTTTTCATTTGGACAGAAAATGTTGGAGGAAGAATAAGAAACCAAGCGTTGATGGTCATCATGAGAAGAAGAGTGTTGTTGAGCACTGGCAGTCTGGTCCTCTGATCTCAGCTCAGCAGTCTGTCAAGAGGAGAAGCTCAGGTTAGTGAAGAACTGACATGTTGCTAGAATCATATTATGGTTGCATATGGTGTTCTAGGTTTGATGGCACTGACTAACCTGGAGCCCACAGCTTTCCCGTGCACTCCTCTGTATCTCTGGTCGCTGTGGATGGATGTAAGATCTTCTTTATAGGTCCCCTCGTAGATGTCTGACTGACGCTTCATGTAGCTCTCACTTGCATCACTGCAAAACGACAAAACAACCAACAGGTCATGTTTCAAAGTGTTTCTGAAATCACACATCACTGACGTCACTCCAGTGGTCCTACCTACCCCAGCCGTTTACCCATGACGGTCTGTAGGAACTTCCTGGCAGAGATCTGGCCCAGAACTTTCCTGTAACTGTTTGTAAAGATGGCATCAGCGTGACGTCCGGAGCTAAAATCAGAAAGGGAATGAATGAATTCAGTCGTGTCATTACACAGCAGTATATTCTGGAACACTTTTCAGAAAGAAAAAATAAAAAGCATATTTCTTCACTTGGCATTGAGATATTTTTGGTTTTATTTGTTTTATTGTCAGATCTTTTTCAGAAATGTTTTATTGCAAACTACATTTGAGTGAATAAACACTGGTGTAAATTTAAATTCAGTTTAATGAAAATGTAACTTTAAATGTAAATGATATGCACAACAAAAAAAAGAAGAATTGTCTTTTGTTGTATTGGGGCAGAGACAGACGTTTTAGAGGCATTTGCCTCAAAAACCAAGTGTGTCTGCATCACACCGGAAATGTTATAAATTGATAAAGTTTCCTTTGAGCCCATCTTTTACATCAGCCTCTCAGTCCATATGAACATACTGACCGTAACTCTGCTCGCTCCCTGGGATGACTCATGTCGCCCGGCAGCTTCTCTGCTGGATCATTGATAGACGACGTCATCAGGATGGACATGTCCCTCTGACCGAACCTGAGAAACAGCTCCATTAACTTAACAATGTATTCCATTTATTTTCCCCCAAAACTGTGAGAGTTTTGATGATGACAGATTTTAGACAAAAGAAAATATCCTCAGTCTAACTCCAACATGCTGGTGTGCAGCGACACATTCTGCTGCTTTGACTCAGGACAGTGTGATCGAGGTGAACTGGAAATGTGACACTAATGTGACCCATGCTGTGTGCTTGACCCCTGCAAGCATAACAAGTGCAGAGGGCACAGCTCCGACAGGGGAACACAGGGAATCATACGTGGTTTTCTTTATGCTTATTAATGTGTTTGAACCTGGACCTCACGTCACTGTCATTTTCTGTGTCAGGTTACATGGGCTCATCTTTTAGTCGTAAAGATAACGTCAACTTTTCCATTTGATGTAAAGCAGTCAGCTCCTCTGTAAAGCTTAGCCACAGTTAATGATAAACATAATCCACAGAGTGGATTGAGAGAATTGAAAAAAAATCCTTTATTCTTCCATAGCTAGTGGAGGAAAACGACCAGAATATGTCTGGTGTGTATAAATCTGAACGGCTGTGGTGACCTGTCATAAACATTTCAATAACTTTGAAGACCCTCATAAAAAGCAGTAATGACAGAGGGAGAGGGGAGTAGTTCCAGTGAATCAGTGAGGACCTACCTAATGGATGGGTAGAGTGGGGAGCCTGATAGAGACATGACCAGGCAGCAGAACAGCAGCAGTGCAGCTTTCTCCATCATCACAGCTCGTCCTGGAGAAGAGTGGACAGCTAGAATAAATGACAGACGAAAAAACAAATATGCTGAAACCACAGTTTCCCTCAACCAGGCTCATCATCGCTCTGCTGAAGCCACTGAAGGTGCAGCAGGAGGAGAAACATGCTGCGATGGGAAATATAATCAACACTGAATGATCAAATCACACATTTTAAATTGATGCGCAAACGCACGATGCATTTCTAGAGTTACCTCAATTTTTCACGTGAATTCCGAGGGTCCCTGCAGCTCCTCTTTACTCGCTGCCCTCCTCTCTCATCATCGCTTACTGCCAGGAAACACTGGACAACAGGGTCACTGGAACAGTACTCTGCGTTACTCCTGCAGCCATGGAGAGTTTATACTGAACCTGTAGCTCCCAGTCACTCCCACATCACACATCATACTCTCTCTCTCTCCCTCTCTCTCTCCCCTCGAGCTGAGCTATCTACATGCTCTCTCACTCTTTCTATTTGTCCAACTTTTACTCTCTCAAATAAATGTTGTGCTTTTTGTAGTGACCATAATCTAATACAAAAAATAGCCTTGTATACTACAATGGAAAAATATTAAAAACAAAAAGTGAATCAATTAAATAAAAAAAACAAATATTAATGTGATAGGAGGAGAAATAATTTAAAGTTTGCAAATCATTGCAATGTTGACGTTAATCGTTATATCTTCATATCATACAGTCATTATGCAAATATTTCCCTAAAGTGTAAGGAAACACAACAACACACACAAACCAAAAAACAGAAGCACATTTCAAATGTCTGTTATTGAACACAATGAAAAGATCCATTCATGCAAACAGTAAAACGTGTAATTTCATCTATTGTAGCTTCAAAACCTGAATAGATTTGAACGAACAGCTCCCGGACACATTTATTTTCAACATGTGAACATTATGTGTCACTAACAGTTATTTGCTGCAGGGATACAGGTTATATTGTTGTAAAGGTTTTTGATTTCTTCAGATAATGACGGAGTTTTTGTTGTTTTGAAAGTGTTTGTAGTATCAATCGAATTAATCTATTTGAATAAATAAGTGTCGCTCTTTCATTCAGTGTTTTATGGGGGAAGGTGTCTTCTGCTTAACGGTCACTTCGAATCCCTCGCCATCCGGAACCCTGATTTCCGCGACGGGTTATTTTCGGGCGGACCGTGAAGTTTGACGTACCAGGGGACAGGTTTGGCGAACGGACCGCTGCGATACAAGATAGTTCCGTGTGGTTTGCGTCCATCTTCGCTGTACAGGACACCTAGATCTATCAGTTTGATTAGAAAAAGTCAGAGTCAGATGCTGAATTGGTTTCGATAAATAACTTACATTTTCTTTTTCAGTTTGCAGCTGAAATTTGAACTCATGCAAAAACACACATCATTCGTTATATTGGTGCAGGTTATACATGAGTTATTATAAAGTAGAGTTTGTGTCACTGTTCCCAAAGAGGCGAAATCATCTCTACAGTAATGTTCTGTTTATAAACTGTACAACCTCGTGTGTTGGTGTTTATTAATGATGATAAATGATCCGATGCCTGTTGTTCATGGATGTTTAGAGTCATCAATTATTTATTAAAATCAGTTGAAGACACATTTCCTTGCGATTGGTCTGATCAGTCAATATTTCTGAGGACAAGTTTGTTGGAGTTAAAATGTGGAAAATTTTTCATTTCACACTTTGATTTAAGTGAGAGAATCTTAGTGACAAAGGATATACTTTTAAATCTATACAATAAGAGATCATCTGATCGGTTAATCCCAAGGGCGTGGAAAGAGTTGATAATTATTTCTAGTCAGAAACCTGGGAAGATCATAAAGTACCTGTAGTAATTATAGACCAATTGCTTTGAACAGAATTGTAAATGACAGACTAATTTAGACACTAAAGGTTTGATACATAATTAACAAAGTGGATCAGAAGAGGCAGAGGTATCGTGGACCCTATAGTGTGCCTCATAGATGTTAGGAGAAAAGCCAAGATTAAAAAGGAAACTGTGTTAGCACTTTTCTTTAACATAGAAAAGGCATATGACACGATGTGGAAAGCAGGACTATTTATTAAATGACATCAACTGGGAATAAAGACAAGAGTGTATCAGTGGGTGAAAGAGTTTTTATTTGATAGAAAACGAATAATTAAAATCAATGGGGTTTTAGGTGATGTTATAAAGTCGAAAGTGATGTTCCTTAGGGCAGTGTTAGTAGCCCATTATTATTTTTTAATATGATAAACAATGTAGTCAGGAATATAAAAAGATATATATATATATTGGAGTAACTCTATTTGCTGATGATGGTGCAATGTGGAAGAGTATAAAGAACATTCAGTCTGAATATAGACAGGAAATTGTCTTGGATAATGTTCAATTTGTAAACAGTCTGCAGAAGTCAGGTGTCAACATCATGTTTGGGTTCCAGCTCACACTGATGCAGGTCATTTTACCTTTTACTGAGGAAATCAGGAGATGTGTGTTTTAAAAGTTTTTGTTTTTTCAGGGCAACTGGGTTAATAAGAAGAAATTAGATTTTCCAGATCCACAACCCCATTCAGTTATGCACCATACGTTGCAGAAAAGGGGAGATTCTCCTCTTCTGTCTATGGTATTGGCTGAGTGTAGCAATTATAATGAATAAAGAAGGGAATTAATATTAGGATTTAAAAAAAAAGAAGCAAAATATTACATTAGAAAATCTCTTCGGATGGACATCAAGGAATATACACACTCTTCTAATGAACTACTTAAGAGAAAGAGAAAAGAAGAAAAGAATTACATTTTCATTTAGTTTGCCAATTTACTGCTCCACACTCCAGTCCAGACGGTGGCAGTAATGCGCCTATAAGCTGGTTTACCACCAATAAACACCAGAAGAAGAAGCAGCAGCAGCAGCAGCAGAAGAAGAAGAAGCAGCAACAGAAGGAGAAGCAGAAGGCAGGTAGTCCTCTTGACATTGAGACATGCTCACAGTGTGCAGCTCACACACAGTAACTCCTACAGTTTGGGACAACACGGGACACTATGGCAGACCTGTGCTGCAGCTACCCGCTGGGTTGTTAGAGCTGACAGCTGTAGCTCGTTGTGCTAAAGCTAACTCACCATGGAGCTCTTCCTCAGGACTGTAAGACCCTTGTTCACTTCTCCACAACGCTGGAGACCTGTCAGCTGCTCCCAACACAGGAGCTGCTCTGGTCGAGCTAAACCCAGCGTCCCCTCCAGAGACAGGGGGACAGCCACCGGAGACACGTCCAGGACCCAGCTGTCCTCTGGTCCCAGTCTCCATGATTTCATCAGAGCAGCCTCTGTGAACCAGACCCGTGCTGCACGTGGAGAGCTCTCAGACTCCTCTGGGTATCTCTCTGAGGACCTGGTGGGGGGGGATTCCAGGAAAGGTGGGTCTCATTTGGAGTCAGGATCATTTTGATCGTCTGTGGGACCGATGATAATCTGGGCTTGTGCTTTGTTCCAGTGTATTTTGAAACCTATGGCTGTCAGATGAACGTGAACGACACAGAGATAGCCTGGTCCATTCTGCAGAGGAAGGGATATCAACGCACGGTGGATTTAAACCAGGTAAAAGAGCTCAGGTTGTAATCGTACAACTTGAATCATCTTGAAATCAATTCTTTACAGTAATATCACTGTGATCCGCACAGGTTGACTAAGTTGGGATTGTGTTTGCAGGCAGATGTTGTGCTTCTGGTGACGTGCTCTATAAGGTAAGTCAAGACCTAACTCATGACTCATGTCATGGATGGATGGATGAATAAATGAATGAATACAGCTTCTCTTCTTCTTGAGAACTCTGAGGTTCATCAGTCTCCCCCAGAAACTACTACCCAACCTGTACCATCTGAAAACAGACCTAGAGCTGCGGACACGCTGTTTAACTTCTGACAACTCAAGTTCAATGAACTGCAATAGATTCTTTGTAGTTAAACACGTTATATCTGTAGCCATCCATCCAACATCTATACTACTGATCCTTTTGAGGGTCAGGGCCGAGCTGGAGCCAAACCCAGGCAACATTGGGCTAGAGGTGGGGTACAACCTGAGCAGGTCGCCTGCATGTCAGGGCCAACATACAGAGACAAACAACCATTCATACTCATGGGCAATTTAGTCTCTAATGAACTAAACCTCAGATCTTTGGACTGTTTGAGAAAGGACCTGGACGTTATATAAATGATATATTCTATTGTCTCTTACTATTTATTTCATGTGCGTCTAAACTCAATGAATATGCAGTGACAATAAAGAATCTATCTTGATGCATTCATTAACAGAGATACTAAAACTCTTTTCTTCTTCAGAGAAAAAGCTGAACAAACCATTTGGAATCGATTACAACAACTCACAGCTATGAAGAGGAGACGGTTGAAGAGCCACACACCGATGAAAATCGGTATTTTAGGTAAGTGAGTCCACAGATAAACACTCGTGTTCACGTCCTGCAGCTGCTACAAAGACATAGTAATAGGTATGTGTCTCCAGGTTGCATGGCAGAGAGGCTGAAGACTGAGCTTTTGGAGCGGGAGAAACTGGTAGATGTTCTCGCCGGCCCGGACGCCTACCGGGACCTTCCCCGCCTCTTGACGGTAGCTGATGGAGGTCATCAGGCGAGCAACGTGCTGCTGTCCTTAGAGGAGACCTACGCTGACATCATGCCTGTCCACGTGGCTCCTCAAGGATACAGTGCTTTTGTGTGAGTATATGGATTTTATTTTTTTTTTACTACAGAACAACAATGCTTTGGGAGGAAGTTGGTCTCATTCTCTAAGGCAACACTGTGTTTATATCATATCACCTCTGCTGATCAGGTCCATCATGCGAGGCTGTGACAACATGTGCAGTTACTGCATTGTTCCCTTCACTCGGGGCAGAGAGAGGAGTCGACCTGTTAGTTCCATCCTTGAGGAAGTTCGAATGCTCTCTGACCAGGTAAGTTATTACCTCAGTGCTACTGTCACGTGTCCCTACACTTGATTTTAAAAAGTAAGATGATAAGTATGATAGTAATATTAATATAGGCGGGCGAGTCAGGATGGTGTTTTAAGTAAAACTCCTCAATTATAACTAAGGTCTAAAGACTATTAGATATTAATAACATTATATTTTAGGGAACACTGAAATGCTATTTAGAAATGAATGTCCTCAGAAATAAAGTTTTGTTTGAACAATTGTCCTTGCATCACTTCCAACATCAACACAGTAATATAAGGCACCTTACTCTATCTCTCTAAAAGAGAGAAGTAGATTATATTTTTGAGTAATGGTCTAAGACTTATATCTTCAACACGTTCTATAAAGATCTGTTGTCTGCACAGTACAAGCTTTGATTAAAAGTTCAGTATCATAACCGTAATGTTTTAGGATTGGTTTACAGTTTGTCCTGACCAGTTTTCGTGTGGTGGATGTTTTCCTCAGGGTGTGAAAGAGGTGACATTGCTTGGTCAGAATGTGAACAGCTACAGAGACACGTCAGAGGAGCAGTTCTGCGGCTCTGACCTGACCACGCTCAGCCGGGGCTTTAAGACCGTTTATCGCACAAAACAGGGAGGCCTGCGCTTCTCCGACCTGTTGGACCTAGTGTCCCGCATCGATCCAGACATGAGGATCAGATTCACCTCCCCTCATCCCAAGGATTTTCCTGATGAGGTGCACTTTTTAATACTTTTCACAGAGTCCTGCTGCTGGAAACACATTCTCTAAAGCCCACGTGACAAAAAAAAAAACAAGATTCATTTCATCGCCTGTTTCTGTGTAGATTTCCCATATTAACTTGGATGATTGGAGCTCACTTACTGTTTTCTGTGCTGCTGTAGGTGTTGCACCTGATTGCGGAGCGAGAGAACATTTGTAATCAGATTCACCTTCCAGCCCAGAGCGGGAGCAGCCGGGTCCTGAAAGCAATGCGACGTGGGTAAGAGACCACTACACCTTTACTGAACTCAAAGCAATTCAGTTTGCGAAGCCGTTTGTAAAACCTCTTAAAAAAGCACTCCAATAAAGTGTCTTTCTTTAAATCAAATTACAGCTACACAAGAGAAGCTTATCTTGATCTGGTGAAGAACATTAAGAGAATTATCCCAGGTAGGTTATCTTTTTTCTTTTATTTGTTCCACCTCTTATTTTTATTGATTTATAAATCAGCATTCAATAAATTAAAGGGTCATCCAGACATGTGACTTTTGACCATCAAAAGTGAACTTGTGTGCCAAGTTTGAAAGAATTCTCTAAATATCACATTCACAAGGTCACAGTGTCCTTTGACCTTTGAATACAAAGATCTAATCAGTTCATCCTTGAGACCAAGTTTGTACCAAATTTAATGAAATTCCCTTGAGATATTCTTGGGATATTGAGGATGTATATACAGATGGAAAGAAAACCCAAAAACATTCTGCCTCCGGCCACTGCCTATCGCCGGTTTGGAGGCAGAATGATGAAGCTGTCCTGCACTTAGTAAAGAATCTGTACATAACTTGGTCAGAGTTGCCCCTCCAGATGTTAAAGTATGCAGTTTACCATTAAAAGAGAAAATGCACTGTACCTAGGTATAATACTTTAGACTTGTTTGCTGGAATTAAGATCCTGGTATTAATTATTAACTCTAAATAAAACCCCAATCACCCTACATATACATGTCATAGGTGGGTTTCAGCCGGCAGCTTGAAGACTAACTGACACAGATTTCTGATTCTTTTTTTCCCTGAAATTGTATTGGTAAAAAAATCCTTGCATTCCCAACAAGAGCCTGACGTTTTCCTGGCGAGTAATAACTTTAAAATGCGTTTGTCAGAGGTGGGTCTCAGCAGCGACTTCATCTCGGGCTTCTGTGGTGAAACGGAGGATGACCACCAGCAGACTCTGTCTCTGATCAGAGAGGTGGGCTACAACGTGGGATTCCTCTTTGCCTACAGCATGAGGAAGGTGAGCTCCTGTAACCTTGTGATGTAAACTTACACCAGAAAAGATTTAGTGTCAAGTCTCCACTGTCCCACTCAGAAAACCCACGCCCACCATCGGCTGGAAGATGACGTGCCAGCAGAGGTAAAGCGGCGGAGGCTGGAGGAGTGTATCAGTGTGTTCAGGGAGGAAGCTGCCAGGGTCAACGCTGCTCTCGTCGGCAGCACAAAGCTGGTCCTGGTGGAGGGAGTGAGTACTGCACACACGATCAGCTCACAGGGTTCAACCATAGCGGGGGTTCAACACAGCAGTGCAAAGTTCACCCTTTAATATGTTGCTTTAGATATATCATACCTACTGTATTTATGGATATTATACCTATGTTAAACATTTGAACATCTAATACAGAAATTGGAATTAACACTGCTCATAGGTAGAAGTAGTCATCCACTACCACTGTAGTGTACCACTGTAACCTGTTACCAGGCAACACTGCTCATCTCTGTGTTCCACTTTGATGCAGGAAAGTAAAAGATCAGCCGAGGACCTGTGTGGGAGAACTGAGGGCAACGTGAAGGTGATTTTCCCCAAAGAGGATGTGTCTGTTCAGGCTGCAGAATCCAGCGCTGCACCGATCAACGCTGGAGACTATGTGCTAGTGAAGGTAGGGTTTGATTCGTATGGATATTTTTAGGTGTTCTCCAGATTAGAGCGTGATGGATATTAAATGATCACATACGTATCAACAGTGGTGTACATGCTGCCTAATAAGTGGCAGAAAATGATCCACTGAAATCTATCTAATTTCTTCCTGTTTTCCTGTTCCTGGTTAGTGGACGTGGCTACTTGCACTTCTGTGCACCAATCAGGATCCAGTCCTGACACCTGATTGGTTGCAGATTGTGGAAATGGTTATGTTAATGAGAGAAATCTGTAAAAATTAAATACACATGTTTATTTAAAAATATGGATTATTTCAGAGTTTCATGTATCTGTACATGACATAATTAAAAACATTTTAAAATGTAATGTAAACTGTAATGTTACACGTTCAAAA